CGGGGCTGAGAAGATGGTTCACCATAAGACGCTGTTCTTTCAGAGGACCGAGCTTCAGTTCCCCAGTGCTGGGTGAACAACAGCTGAGAGCCCCTATCCTCAGACACAATCACAGGACTGGGAGGTCACCCCGGGAGTGGCTTGGGTTTCTGAAACTTCAAACCCCACTCTCAGTGATGGGCCACTCCTAATCCCAAACAGTTCCACCAATGAGGGACCAGAATTCAGACATATGAGCCTACTGGAACCTTTCCCATGCAAACCACCACTAGGGGTGACTGAACTCAGGATTCTTCAACCTCAGCCTGCCAAGTGGCAGGATTGTGGGTGTGCATCGCCATGCCTGGTCTATGTGGCTGGGAATCAAACTCATGGCCTTGTGTGTGCTGAGTAATCACTCTACCAACTGAGCTACAACCCCACACGTATGGTTTTAAAGCACTCTTTAAACCCCATTCAAGCTTCAGGGTTATGTGCTACACAAAAGGCCCTATCTCAAAAAGAATGTTTATACACACACACACACACACATTTATACGTACATACCTACGTACGTATAAATGTGTGTGCATTTACACTATCTGCAGCTGACTACAGAACAGTCACAACTAACCAGAAGGGGTGTGGTGGTGAACAGCTCATCATGCTAGGCTAGGACAAGCACTCCCTTCTGTGTGTGAGGCCTGGATGGGGGTGGGGCAGGACAGACAGTCAGAAAGCCACTTGTTTTAGGACTGCTATCACTGATGAAACACCATGGCCAAGAGCAAGCTGGGGAGGAAATGGCTGATTTCAGCTCACATTTCCAGGTCACAGTCTGTCACTGTTTGTCACTGAAGGAAGTCAGGACAGGAACTCAAGCAGGGCAGAGACCTGGAGGCAGCTGATGCAGAGGCCATGGAGGGCGCTGCTTACTGGCTTGCTCAGCCTGCTTTCTTATAGAACCCAGGACCACCAGCCCAGGGATGGCCCCACCCACAATGGCCTGGGCCCTCCCCTACCCAATTATTAATTAAGAAAATGCCCTCCAGCTGGATCTTATGGATGCCTTTTCTCAGATGAGGCTTTCTGCTTTCTACCTCTATCTTGTATCAAGCTGACATGAGACTAAGCAGCACAGCTCTCACTACCCACACATGCAGTGTGAGCAAACACTGTATGTCAGACTCTGAGAATACCTGCGTTACACTTGCTGCCTATCAAGTCACCCAAACACTCAAGTGCAGGAAGACGGGAGCCTGCGGTGTGGACCCTCCACCCAGGTGAGGAGCTCAGCTCTGAGAGCACCCCTCCACCTTGCCTGTCTCGGGCAGGACTGGCAGGTTTCTGAGGTCTAAAATCCGAGTGTGCACCTAACAGGAACGGCTGTGTGCTGGAGTCGGGCCCCGCAGCAGGGAGGGGTGCTTGCTTCAGCTGTGTGTCACGAGTGAGCCTGGCAGACTGCTCAGGGGACTGAAAGCCTGCACGCTGTAGGTGAGGCAGCTTGGCACTTGTATGGAGGGAGAAAGCTATCCTGCGTGCCAGTCAAATCACAGAGCCAGCTTGTGCTCAACAAGACAGCCTTGTCTTACTCATTCTCTCAAAGACTGGAGAACAAGAACACACATCAAACCACACCTGCAGAAATCACCGCAGAGCGGCATGCCACGGCTTGAGCGGTGTTACCAGAGCCAGGCGCATGCAGACCAGTCCAAGTCGCCACACCTCAGCTGGGAACCTGCTCACTCCTCAAGCCAGAGTCTCTGACAAGCCAGTGTGCTGACTGCTCACCTGTGTGCTGACCGTTCACGTGTGTGCTGGTGCTTGTGTGTGAGGGCAGGCATGTGTGTGCTGGCCACTTGTGTGTGAGCGCAGGCATGTGTGTGCTGACCGCTCATGTGTGAGCACAGGCATGTGTGTGCTGACCGCTCGTGTGTGAGCACAGGTGTGTGTGTGAGCACAGGCATGTGTGTGCTGACCGCTTGTGTGTGAGCGCAGGGATGTGTATGCTGACCGCTCGTGTGTGAGCACAGGAATGTGAATGCTGACCACTCATGTGTTAGCAAAGGTGTGTGTGTGAGCACAGGCACATGTGTGAGCACAAGCATGTGTGCTGACCACTCATGTGTGAGCACAGGCATGTGTGTGAACACAGGCACATGTGTGAGCACAGGCATGTGTGTGAACACAGGCACATGTGTGAGCACAGGCATGTGTGTGAACACAGGCAAAGGGCAGTGCCGAGCCTACAAACAGCAAACCGACATTCACATAATGATGGTCAGACAAGAATGAAATCTGACCTAGAAACAATCAAATATCAGCAACGATGTAAAATCCACAACCCTCCTCAAATACACATGGTTAGACCATCTAGTACAGTGAGGACGGTCCTACTGGCTACAGCTACTGATGGCCCAGTGACCAGGCAGCAGCCCAGCAAGAGCAGAAACATCAGTATCAACTGACATGGGGCTCATAGCCAGGCCTTCTACGACAGCACAGGCCTGACCACCACCCTCACCTGCTGGGTGGGGACCCGGCATCTGTTCCCCAGTGTTACAAGTCAGACCAAGAAGGAGAAACCAGCTTTTCCTTTATGGATTCTGAACACAAATCACTCAGAAATTGCCTCAGAACGGAGCTGCTGGAGGGAAGGTGGGCTGAGAACATAAAATTGCCAGGGCTCAGAAAGTCATTCTTTCTTTCTTTTCTTTCAGAGCTGAGGACTGAACCCAGGGCCTTGCGCTTGCTAGACAAGCGCTCTACCACTGAGCTAAATCCCCAACCCCAGAAAGCCACTCTTACATATAGTTCCTTTATATTACAGAAAGAAAAATGAAGGCACACGGTGGCAAACCAGAAATGTCAGGCTTCAAGGTGACCCAGCGGGGACTCGACTTCCCTCTCTTCAGTGGCCAGCCTGCACCCCTCCCTCAGCGCCATTCATTCTGATACAGAGACATGTAGAGGTATCCTCTGTTGTCCCCACCCCCACCCCACCCCTTTTAAGACAGTGTGTCTCAGTGAACCTGGAGATCACCAGTTTGACAGACTGGAGAGCCCCTAGGCTCCTCCTGCCTCAGCCCCCTAGTGATGGGGTTATGGACAAGCATCGCTGGGCCTGGCTTGTCAGAAGATGTTGACGATCCGAAGTCAGGTCCTCATGCCAACTCTACCCACTAAGCTTACTTCACAGCCAAGGACTCACTGCATTCTCATTCCCGTAAGGAAGGTTACCAAGCGACGTGATACCTACTAATGCAGGCCGCTTAACGTAAGGAAGGACCACGTCACCAAACAGGTCTCCTGCAAGCGCCGTGAGGGTCAGAGTCTCCTGTGTTTGCAGAAGGAAAGGCAGACTCAGAGCCTTTTGTGGATGTGGAAGCTGAAGGAACTGTCTGAACTCCGTGGAAGACTGGCCATTTGGAGTTTATTTTGGGCTTCTTAATTGGCTTGTTCCATTTCTTTGAAGAAAAGAATGTCTTGAATTCATTCCTCAGTTTATAAAAAGAGTTCCTGACCTGGCTGACACGCTGTGGCTGTCCCCTCAGCTGGCTGGCCTGAGCCCTAGCAACAAAAAGTTCCTGAGCGCTTCTCACTACTAATAAAGGAAAGCACAGGCTGGAGACGGCCCAGTGGCTAAGAACATGTCCAGATGACGTAAGTTCTAGTCTCTGCTGCACCCATAGCAGGGAGCTCACAACGATCTGTAGCTCTAGGGGACCCGATGCCTCTGTCTTCCACATGCACGTGTCCCCATGAGCACACATCCACGCACATGTACTCATGCCTACACATAGTTAAAAGTAAGCCCTTGGGGCTGGAGAGTTGGCTCAGTGGTTAAGAGCACTGACTGCTCTTCCAGAGGGCCTGAGTTCAATTCCCAGCAACTGCATGGTGGCTCACAACCATCTGTAATGGGATCCGATGCCCTCTTCTGGTATGTCTGAAGACAGTGACAATGTACTCATATACATACAATAAACAAATCTTAAAAAAAAAAAAAGTAAACCCTTGAAAGAACATACTAAACAGATTTGTGGGCTAAACACAGCTGACATTCACTTCAGACCCACACTCCAAAACCAGGCTAAGGCACTAGGGTATGGCAGCAGTCAACAGAAACAAAGTATCCAAGTAGAAAAAGCTCCAAAGAACCCGTTGACTGATCGAAAGGCAGGCACACTGGCGTCCCCTCTGATCCTTGAGCACCGTCCTCCTTCTTTCTTTCCAGAGCTGGCTCCCTTGTCCACTAACCAATCCAGCCATAGAAGTCAAGCACAGGCAAAAACAGAACAAGCTAGTCATGACATCTGAGAGGAACTACAGGAACCAGAAGCTTCCCCACGTGATGTCAAGCTGTGCTCCTGACAGAGGGTGGACTTCGTGGTGCCTACTTTCAGGACCTGCGATCCACAGTGAGACATGCCCTAGTTTTCCACTGCCGCCCTTAGATTTCCATCGCATGGAAACAGCTAGCTGTGCCCAACACCTGCACTGTCACATAATGTCAGGGCACTAAACTCTTAGTTTAAAAGCGTAGGACTCACCAAATCCCCTTTCCTCCTACAAGCCAAGGACAACAGGTACACAAAGCTCCATCTTATCCCCAGCTGGGACAGGGCTCAAGGAAAGGCAAGCGAGGACCAGTACATGCACTGAGGAGAGCACACAGAGCCACCTCTTGGGACCTCTCACTCTTACCACTGTTAAACAGTATAAATCCTAGGCTGTAGCTTATCACCTAGAGTCGGGATAAATCTTGAATCTTGTATCGTCTCTACTCTGGCAGCAGGGGTGGAACCAGGATCACATGCACCTAAACAACAAACTGCAGGGCTAAACGCATCCCTTGGGACATTGTCTTGAGCTCATGTTCCATTTACAACTCACAACCCAAAAGGCCAGGGGCTGAAAGAGATGGCCCAGTGGTCAGAGCCGTTGCCGAGCTCGGGCTGAAAGAGATGGCCCAGTGGTCAGAGCCGTTGCCGAGCTCGGGATGTCGCTCACTCACTCACCTTGTGAAGAGGGAGCACCAAAAAGGCCCCTCCCCCGCTCGCTTCTATGATGATGGCCACGAATCTGGGGTTGACTGCACAAAAGGAACTGTCCCAGGTGACTCGGGAGACGCGGATGTCATCATAGCACTGGTCATTCTTCACCGCCTGTCCAAAGACATGCCGGAACTTGCTCTGCCGCACCACTCGCCGCATCGTGTCTGTGAAGGGAAAGTGGCAAGAAGTGTGTGAGAACCGAGTGCTGTCTAAGCCGCACTTCTGCACAGGCATGCTGGAGACAGCCCCTCGGAACTGTCTGCGCTCCTAAAGGGTAGTCAGACTGCAAATCCCAGACGCTCTGCAGCAGGGGCAGGGAGAGCATTGCAAACAGGTTGGAAGGCTCACAACATCAGAGGTAGTCCAAGAGTGTGCACTTCAAGAGAAAGATCAAGGCTGGACCTGAAGGAAAATCCATGGAAAAACTCCCTCTGCCCTTCCTACTCTGGAGACAGGAAAATACCTAAGTGAAGGAACCTCGGAGGTGTGAAGCTGAAGGAAATCCTCAAACAAGGTATGATGTGGTGGCGTTCTCCTCGGCCTGCCAGGGTGATTTTCCCATTTTTAAACACCCTCCCTGCCTTGCCCTGACATCAGCACCCCAGTCTGAGCACTGTGCTGCCTCCCTGCAGTCACTCCACACAACCAACTATGCAGACTCAGAGATGAGAGGCTGCTGCCCTGTCTTCCTGTACTGCTGAATCCCCTCTGCCCTACAGAGGACCCGGACAACTGCTGGCTGCTAAGGCCCAGCAAGGAACAGAAATCCAACCTGAGGCTGCCGCAGAAGAGCCGGGTCCTAGGACGGAGCTGTAATTAAGTGGGAAGCGGCTGATCAAGGCCTCACGACGACAGGAGTCTGCCAGCTCCATCCTAGCGAGCATTAGGAGCCATATATACAAGCCACAGTAGCCAGAGCCGGAACTGCACGGCAGTGGCAGCTAGACAGAAGGGTAGGAACAGGCCAGTGTGGAGGAGAAAAGAGACCGGGCTGGGGGCTCGTGTCAGGTCATTCAACTGCTTGCAGAGGAGGCTGGGCATGCGGATGGTGGGTGACAGCTAGCTGGGGCCCTGGGACCTCCCTGGTTTGCCAGATGGGTATGAACATGGGAGGCTTTGTGCTTCAGGCCCTGCCCCCACACCTCAGGTCTCCTAGCCAGCACTTGATGTAATTTTCCCGTCTGCTGCTGTACAGCATTCTGCTCAAAAAGACAAATGGAACTCGGATAACGCTAAGTGGAACCGGCACATGGCCAAACCCTGACAAATTCACCGAAAACCAGACCGCTGTGAACAGAAGAGGCCAACAGCTGTCTGTCTGCGCCACGTGGGACCTGAGGTGGGCAATGTGGTTTCTCGTCCTCTACGTCCCTTCCACTGTTAGATGCAGAGAAAGAGTGTACGCCGGAGTCTCTGTCCTCCTTTGCAAGGCTTGTGTGGCAGTGTCCTCTCCACTGCTGGGATGTGTGGCGGGGCAGAGGCAAAAGGCTGGTGGCAGCCCCCACGTCCAGTGTTCTATAGCCCAGCTGCTGCCTGACCTTCCCTGCTGACTACTGGGACTGTCTACTTAATGCTCGGTACAAGATGCTAAGGGCTTGCACTCGGCCACAGGCTTCACTGTGAGACGGCGTGAGTTCTTCCTTCAGGAATGAGTCAGACATAGCTTCTGCTGTGACAAAACCTCAAGGAACACACCTCCATACTGGCCACTCTCCAAACCACCACCTTCTCAGCTATCGGTTGGTTCTACAAGTCACAAAGGCTAGAGCCACAACCAGCACATCCCAGCAAGCGTTTCAAAAGATGGCTCAGCAGTTAAAAGTGTTTACTGCTCCCTCAGAGCCACCATACACACCATGGATAGGACTGGAAGGGAGCCCACCAGAAACCAAACCCAACAACAAAGCTCAGAAGAGAGAAAGCCTGTGTCAGTCACTGAGTGATGGCTGTGGGCGTGTCCTACACTCACTGAGCGACTTGGAAGGAGCGCGTCTTGGAAGGAGCGCACAAGGACAGAGGCATGTTGTAAATCCCTAGGAGAAGCAGAAAAAAGACTGGGCACGCCTGTGTGCGCACACACACAGACAGACACACACAATACACGTGCACATTTTTATTTTATTTTTTTTATTTTTATTTTTTTGGGTTTGGTTTTTCGAGACAGTGTTTCTCTGTGTAGCCCTGGCTGTCCTGGAACTCACTCTGTAGACCAGGCTCAGAAATCCGCCTGCCTCTGTCTCCCAAGCGCTGGGATTAAAGGCATGCGCCACCACCGCCCGGCAACGTGCACATTTTTATAAAGCAGAAAAAAGAAAACAGTTATCACGACAGTGTGAGAGTTGACAAGATAGGCCTAAATCAATGCAACAGAATTCAAAGTCCAGGGCCAGAGAGAGGCTCAGAGGGAAAGAAAGGACACAGCTGCACGAGCCTGGTGACCCGAGTTTGATCCCCAAACACATGTGAAAACGGTAGGAGAAAACCAAGTCTACAGTGCTGTCCTCTGATCTCTGTACACATGCCCACACATACACACGGTGTACACACACACACACGGTATACACACATACACATGTGCCCACAAACACACATGTACCCCCACACGGTGTACACACATACACATGTGCCCACAAAAACACATACACACATGTACCCACACACAAATACACACGGTGTACACACATACATACACACGGTGTACACACAGTGTACACACATACACATGTGCCCACAAACACACATGTACCCACACACGGTGTACACACATCCACACAGTATACACACATCCACATGTGCCCACAAAAACACATACAAACATGTACCCACACACACAGTGTACACACATACACACACGTGCCCCCCCCACATACACACAGTGTACACATATACACACACAGTATACACATATATACACATGCCCAGATATACAGTGTACACACATACAAATGTGCCCACAAAAACACATACACACATGTGCCCAGACATACACAGTGTACACACATACACACACGTGCCCACACACACATACTCACGCACACACACTGTACACACATACACGCATAGTATACACATATACATGCACATGCCCACACATACACACACGGTGTACACAAACTAACAACAATAATAATAATCACATTAAAAAAAAAAGAACTTCAGTCCCAAGGTGAACCCATGCTTTCTCTAGCCGACTGACTTTCAACACAGGAACCAAAACCACTCATGGGACATGGAGTGTCAACACAGGGTGCTGACACAGCAGGACAGCCCTGAGAGCAAGCCAACAGAAAGATCCTGGTGACCAAATGGGTCAAAAGCCTGGACACAGAGCCGAGACTACAAAGCTCCCGGAGGGAATACACGGCCATGTGCTTCCTGCCCTGGATGGCAGAAGCAGCTCAGGTGTGACACTCTACAGGCAACAGCAAAGGATCTGACAGGGCTCAGCAAGATGGAGGAGAACTGACCTCTCCAAGTTAGCCTCTGACCTCCACACATGCACCACGGCACACACGTCACATCAACACACACTGACTAAAATAAAAATATACACAGACATTTGTTGCAAACCCTGAATCTAATAAAGCACTCACTAATACCTAAAATAGATAAGGAACTCCTTATTAAAAAGGGGACAGAGTAGGGAAGACAATTTAAAATCCCAAAGGTGGACTGGCCAGGCATCGTGGAGGAGGAAGATGAGGATTCACAGCCAGCCTCAGCTAGGAGGTCTTGCGTTTGCCTGCCGTACGTAAGACCCTGGGTGTGTAACCAGCACACTCTCCAGATGGATTAAAGGCCCACAGGGGACATGCGTCTGTCCAATGCGCATAGAATGTGCAAGGCATTATTGTCCCTTGGGAAGTGAAAACCAAACCCTCCGTGAATGAAAACCCAGCAGTCAGCGAATCGCTGGTGAAGTGTGGGCTGCTCGGGGTCTCTGGGGTGTCAGGTGGGCTGAGCTTTGGAAGGGCCTTACAGCTCCTGTGCTCTGACAGGTTTCTACCTGACTTGGCTCTTGAGAGAACTGAGAATGAGTACATAGACCCAACCCCCTCCTCCCACAGCAAAGGGAGAACTCTGAGTGCTGCTACCCACTGGTCTAATAGATAAAATGCCACTGCCACAGAGACTGCTGCTCTGCAGTGTGCGCACACACCAGCACATCCCACAGCCTGGAGAGACCTTGGCAACGCTGCAGTGACGGAAGGTAACGCAGAGACCTGCAGAGCCTAGCTCTGTTTGTATTAAGCCTGTACTAGGCAAATACGGACAGTAGTTTAGGGGCTGTGGGTTAAGAGCTAAAGACGGGCAGGGGGCTGTTTCTTAAGACTCACTTGCCCAAGCGTTGTGGCAAACACTTTTAATCTCAGCACTCAGGAAGCAGAGGCCAGACTAGTTTACTATCGAGTTCCAGGACAACCAAAGACACAGAGCAAGACCCTGTCTCGAAAAACAAAAACAACAAAACAAAAAAAAAAAAACAAAGTAAACAAAAGACGTGTGTGTGTGTGTGTGTCTGTGTCTGTGTCTGTGTGTCTGTCTGTGGGGATGGGGCATACAATGCCTGCAGAGGCCAAAAGAGGGCATCAGATCTCTTGGAAATGGAGTTACAGGTGGTTGTGACCCTCCATGTGGGTGCTGGGACCAGAAGCCAGGTCCACTGCAAGAGCAGACAGTGCACTTAGCTACTGAGCCATCTCTCCAGCACCACAGGCTTCTTTAGGTGACATGAAACTGTTCCTAATTCACTGTGGTAATGGGTGCACATGGCTCTGGTTTTGGTTTGGTTTTCTCTCTCTTATGCTTTAAGTGAATGCATGGCATGTACACAGGTGTGTTTTAATCTGTCCAGCGTCCAGCATGGACTCTGGAGTCCTCACTGATTTGTGAACACCAGCAACTGTTACTTACGAGCCCACCAAGTTTCCCTGCCCAAAGGGAAGAATCCCACCCAACACCCCCCTGACTAGGGACATGAGTAGAATTTTCATACAGAACACTGGTAACCAAGAACTCTACAGCACTCTGGCTCTCCCTCCTCAGGACCATGAATTCCCTTTCCAAAGGAAGAAAGATCTGAAAACGATTCCAAAGACTAGAACTCTAAGAGTCACCAGTGCTGACTAATGGCGAAAACTTCAGGTGGGCCAGGCAGTGGTGG